GTGGTTGTATCTAATCTTGTTAGAATTAACACAACAGCTTTTATTTCTACAACATATTTATTTATGAAAAGAGATTCAGTTCAGTGGTTAGCAACAGTCAGTATTTTACCTGCAGTAGGATAAGTTTGTGAAAAATAACTTTGACTGACTCGAGCACAAGAAAATGATGCAAAAGGAATTGTTTTTTTTAATTATCTACCCTCAATCAATGTATTTAAAATTTTACACAGATAATGCTAGATTTATGCATTAAAAAAAATTCAACCCCTTAAAATGTGTGTGTGTGTGTGTGTGTGTGTGGGGGGGGGGGGGGTATTATATATGGGAATAAATTTTGACTGTCTTTTATTATTGTTCAACAGCTGCTGTCCCTCAAGTGTGTCTCCAAATAATGTTTCCCCACCAGAGGGCGCAGCGGAAAGGCTGAAAATCCTGACGTCTGTCTGAAATAAGTCGTCTCAATATAAATGAGGATTAATTTTTTTTATGATTTTAAAGCTCAAAATGTGAGGGTCGTATTGTACCGTACATGAATAAATACAGTAACAATGCTTCTCTGCTGCCCACTACCAAATGATCCATTGACTAGTACCGGCCCCTGACCCAGAATTTGGGGACCGTTTTTAAAGTAGGTGATCAGACAGAAACTACTGTTTGTAAAATTAATTTGAAAGGTTTTTGTATTTAATTTTTATAGACAAAATCTGAACAACAACACCAGAACTGTTTCTGTCAGACTGTTTCACACAGAGGCTTATTACTCAGAAGCAACACATGACAAGTCAGTGAGTCTTAGCCCACCAGGTGGGTTTTTTTTCATACTCTGAGATGTCATTATCCACATTTCCCTGTCGGAACATCATTCAGACACAGATGGAGGACGAGCTGTCTCCACAAGAAGATGGTGGATTAATGATGGTGCTGTGTTATTAATAGCCTCTTCCCATCTGGTGCTGCATCTCTCATGGATGAGTTGCAAAACGGGCATCGTGGGCTCTGTTCCCAGAGCCTCACCTCAACCCAGGTGTGGACAAAAAGCTCTTCAGTTATCTTCTCATCAAGAGGCTGACATCTCAGAACCAGACGAACACTTTAACCAAATCGTGTATTTAAAATTAGGCAAATATTGTAGCTACAATAACACACAAACAAAACAGATGTTCTGTTCTCAAACAGACAGGATGTGTCTGTGACACTTTCACAGCCAAAAGACTCACTTTAAGTCAGTCAAACTCAAGGCCCACAGGCCAAATGTGGCCCGCCACGGCATTATATGTGGCCCGCGAGCGCTTCAAAAGTATTTTAATGTCTTGTAATGACCATAAACTACACCTCCCGTAATGCATGTTGATTATTTTACCCATGAAATGACAGCATCCCACCAAGAGGTGGAGGTGAGCAGGGTTCAAAAGTATCCAGTAAGATTGTGTAAAATCCACATTTCGCTGCAGCCTGGTTGTACTGAGACATGAAAGTTCAAAATACAAGATGGCAGCTACTCACCACAACTCAACAGAGTGTAAAACTCTTTTACTTTTACTTTTAATAGTAGCCTGTTTCTGTTTTATTTAGTCAGTCGTACACATAAAGTTCAGTTATTTGTTCAACAGTGCTCAGTCGTAGCAGTGAGACAAGAATGTGACGTTTTGTGTTAATGAAACGCTGAAGTTACAACTGACTCTTTGGCGGCTTTAGTCAGTTTTAGTGTGTTAAGAATCCAAACAATGAGGCAATTTTTGACCATGGAGCAGAACTAGGAGGTCTACACAGAGTGGAAAACGACATGGCACTCCCACATCTTTAAACATTTCTCTCTTCTCGCTCTTGCAGTCAAAAAATTAATAAATAAAAATTAGATTAACATTTTTTTCTCAAGATGTTTCTGTGAGAAGTGTAGTCCTTTATGTAGCAGCTTTTCACCATTTTTCCTGTTTTCCCCACTGATCCTTCCCCCCACCAAAAAAAAAAACAAAAAACAAACAAACAAACAAAAACAATACAGCGGGTAAAATAAGTATTGAACACGTCACCATTTTTCTCAGTAAAT